GCCTCAGCCCCCCACCGCTTCTTCTCTTTTTGTTGAAACTGCACTTGTGTCCTTTTCACCCTGGCGGCAGGCCCCCCCCCCCTCTTTCCCACCAAGTGTTGTCTCTATTTTATTGCCTTGCAAAGATGGCAAGGGCAGATCGCTTGTCCTTTTCATCTCAGGTCAGGACTCGGAGGTGATTGCTAAACTATCGCACAACGCCCCATGTTGAGGTCTCCCTTGCTAGATGAATGGAAGGAAGCGGAGGGAAGGCACAGCCTCTGACGAAGTACCATGTACTACATGTACCTTAGTGGAAGGGCATCCCAGTCATGGAGGCTGGGCAGGCACATGGCACCTTGAATCGTGTTCGTCAGTGATGAGATTGGCCAGCATCACGTGGGTGTGCTTCATCTGGCACCTTCCCTGTAGAGAGCTGCAGTCGTCACCCACACCTGCTGAAAGGACCTGTCCAAGCCCCATTGTCGCAATCAGCCGTCCACAGTAGTAGATATCTGGCGTCTGCTGTCTGTTGTCCGGCGCGATCTGAAAGCAAGGTCTTGACTCTCGTGTCTGTTTTATTTGCATTCATTAGGGCAAGTTTCACCCCAGCCAGGCATTTCGGCTTACGCCTCTGCTATTCATTGGATGCGTCCGTCAACGTCTCCCTTCCTCGCGCTGGGCTCCTCGAGTGCACTGAAGATGAATCTGAGCCAGCACAGTCCATGTACCTATGTACTGGTTTGACACCCCCTCCTCATCGCACCTTGTCTCACTCCCCCCCTTGATCAAGTCCTTCCGGGGTGGTGACCAGGGGCGTTCTTTCCCTCTTTGCAAGGCCTGTCGCCCAGTCGAGTCGCTGTTGCCGTCTTGGGGTTCAAGGCCAGCTCGATTGCGACTTCTGGCAAGGTACCTATAGATGAGTGCAGAGCAGGAACAGCCTGGCAGGTAGGATCGCGCCTGCCTGCCCTACCTCTCTCTCTTCCGCCTACCTTAGGTACCTGCCTGACCCTTTGTGCCGTGCCCATAATATTGCGCTCCTCTCCGTCCTTGTCTTGACCCGGAACACGGGTTGCATCATCTTGCCTTCCCACTGACTCGTCGCTGCAAAAGCGTGCTTCCTCACTCCATATCCCACTGGGCAAGATATCTCAGAACTTGAAGCGATACACAGGGCTCTCGAGGCATGCTTGCCTGCTGTTCCTTTCCAGGCCGTTTCTTCCAAACCAAATCCCAACTAGGAAAGCCGCCAGAGGCTGTCGAACCTGTCAGGCCAGATCCATCGCGTGGTGCTCGGCTGGCGACAGTGCCGGCAAACGTGCAACATCAGGACCGTTCAGGTCAAGCCGCCATTCCTTCTTTGGGGAGGGAGTCCCGCCACAGTAGCGCACGGCGCCCGCATCTTGCCTTCAACAACCATACCCAACTTGGAAAACAAGCCATCCAGGCAGGAGCCAAATCGAACGTCAAGCTACAACTACAAAGGTCAGTTACCACATTCTCTCTTCTGTGTCATCCTCACAACCAAGTTGCTTTCCCCCCATCCCCTGCATACCCGCTTCGCTTTCTGTTTGTGCGGCCATTGTGTGTTTGATTCTGGCCTCGACCCTGGCTCGGCCGAGACGCCTACACAACGAGTCCCGCCAGGACTTGCAGAGCGAGAAGGTGGCAGACATCGGGGGGGCACCATTGCATTAGCACGACACACGAAGACCTCTGCGAGCAATCCACTTCCGAAAACCAACCTACCTCATGTACCTCGGACCCGCCTGTGAGCTCTTCAGATGTCAGCTCCGTCTACCCTTCCCTTCCCTCGGCGTATCGTGGCTTGAAGTTACATCGCATATGCTGCCTGGGAAAGCCATGCCTTGACCGCTCGCGCTCACGACATCACTACGCTTGCAATCACACGCTATCAGCGCCGCGCTGTCCCCGCCCCTCCCACGTTCTTCTCTCGATCGAGCGGCCACTCGAGTGTCCGTGCCGAAAACTATGTGCCCTGTATCAACACTGTGTTGCCTCAGTCGCGCTTCGAACCCCTGCCAATCTATCTTCCTTGCTGAACCCTGGTCTTCGGTCGGTGGACCGGCGAAGGCGGCGGCGCCGGCGGGGCTGTTGATGAATCGCGCTCCACGAGGACAATGGGTGGTCAGTCGTTCCTGTTGGCCGACAGAACCTTTACTTGGCCTCAGCGGCTGTCGGATGGAGCAAACCAAGGCATTTGGCTCACTCAGCAAACCCGCCATCACCATCTGCGACGTATAGACCTGTGGGCCTCCTCAGACGATGTGTTACGAGCCCAGACGATGAGCACTATCATTATCAGAGCCTGCGGGGTTCGAGATTAAACCCCAGCACATCGAGTCTCCTATTACATACCCCCTTTGACTGCAAATGAGCCGGGCGGGCTTAGAACCACGCTAGCAATCACCGCGTTTGACCAATAACGTATCAGCCTGGCCACCACAAAGGGCAACCCCCTGCGAATCGGCTGCTCGATGGACGGACAAGCAGATGCCAAAGTTCAGACAGAGCCTACGCCCGCCGTACGGCGAATCGGTCGATCCCTTCTCACGCAAACAACACCCGTCGAGGGCACACAGACTGTTCGATCTCATCCGCCGCAAGGAGCGACGAGTCACCCTTCGACATCCTAACGTGTGTGTTGTAACGCCACACTTTCTTCGAGGCAGAGCCAGGGCAGAGTCATGACAAGCTCTGGAATGGCCCTTTTAAGGGACCCCTTCACCGGCGGCACCGGCCGAGGCACAGATTCCTTCAGATGTTCCCAGGCATTGTTAGCGGCAAACTGTGCGACAGGGGAATGGCGGACGGGGCGGGATGATGATGAGGATTGAGGGGGTGCATCTTCGCTCGTACCCTTCCGCGCCAGTCACACTGGGTTCCCCCCCGTTTGCATCCATCCCAATCGCCGACCTAGCAAGTGCCTGAGGAAGCCCCACCCGCTACGAATAATTAATTATCTGCGTGAGCGACTGACCGCGTGCATTCTCGCACCCTGGATGGGACCACCTGTTCCTCGCCTCTGTTTCGCTGCTTGGGCCGCACGTCCTTCCACCGATGCCCCCCCCCCTTCCTGACACTGTGCTGGATCTGGACTGGGCGGTTCTCTGGTCGAGGAGGGGCACTCACGCTGACACTGAATTTGTTGTGCAGAGATCCCCGCCGGAAAAGCGAGCACACCTTCGGGAACGGACGCTCGACTGCAAAGATTTTCCCCCATTTCCAAGAGACACTGTACCAGGAGGTGCCAACCGCCAGATTCAGGTAAGCCCAATCTCTCTGCTGTACAGTACGCCATATCCCCTACATTCCAGCTCCAGGGCACCGTAGCGACGGGTCCGGCAGCAAGCATGGCCAGTGCACGTCCATGGGAACGAGCTGGGCGGGAAACTGCAAGCCATGGCCCACCATCCCAACGGTCCGACAGGCCACCTTACACACTGAGCCAGACGCAGACAGTGTCAACAAGGTGCCATCTTCTAGTGGGAGCGTGGACTGGCCTACCGCGAGGGGGGCATGGGGATTCTGTTGTTGGAGGGCTCGAGCTGCAGGTGGAGGGCGCCATCACCCTTCGGCGAGTCTCGTACCTACACTACTGTGCCTGGGTCCCTGGGGACAGGGGCCAAGCTCGTTGCTGTGCTAGGCCGCCTGCACCCTTGGGCCCACTGCGCGCCCTCCTTTCGGCAGCACAACCTCCTGAGCCCTCCACCAGGCTCCAGCTCTGTTCCCCAGGCGTA